GTCAGACAGGTTTCTTTCCTGCAGGACTTGTCAGAACCTTTAATACAGTAACGTGCATGTGACTCTTGTGCGGTGGGCAGAGAGTGGGGCCTGGGGGATTTGGAGGACATCATAACCTTGACCAAAAAGGTCTATGCACAGGAACTGGTCTCTGCTGTGGACCATCTCTGGGGTCCAGTGTTCCCAGGAAGAAGAGCCCTCGAGGCCAGCAAGTGCCTGCCCAAACCCCTCTGGGCCTCTCCAGAGCTGAGCACATAGTAGGTCCACAGCACTATGTGCTGGTGGAGGGACTGGGACTCCAGAGAGTGAACAGGCTTCTTCTCGGACCCTTTTCGGCTGGTGCTGCTGTTGAGTTCTCCGGGGCAGGATTCCCTCTGAGCTAGCCAAGTGGACTAAAGGAACCAGGCGGAGCTGCCTGCGTCTGGGGTGTTGGGATGCCTTGGATTTGGGAATGTTTGCCCATGTGCGCCTCATGCGCTCAGCCTGAGGTCATCTGTGCCGTCTCTAGTGCTCCCGCATTGTGGCTSGACCCCCAGCCTGAGTTCAGGCGAGGGACTTTCCACTGTGGCCTCATTTCCAGCTCCAAGTTATGGGTTTGGGAGCGTGTGGGGTTTCAGACTGGGGATTGGGGAACTCAGCCCACACAGCTTCACCATCAGCTAATGCTGATGGACAGGGCCTCAGCTGTGCGTTGGGATTCTGTTCCAGAGAATTCCAGGGGGACACAAACAGTGCACAGTGCGTATGAAAAGTGGCGGCTTGCAGAACAGCCCCCAAGGCTGGAAGGACTCGCTGCTCCTACCAGGACAGGAGTGCGCTTGGGAGCAAGCCGCCTCCCTTCCTGCTTCTAAATAAACGCAGACTGTATTTTGGAGCAATTTTAGATTCTTGGCAAAGTTGAGCCGCAGGTGCAGAGATGTCCCATGTCCCCAGCCCTGTCCCAGCTTCCCCTGCTGTCAACACCCACTAAGGACATGCACCCAAGCTGACAGGTCACTGCCGCCCAGCGCAGGAGGGTGGTGCCTGGTGCCAGAGGGCCTGAGGGCTTGGACCGTTGTGGTGACGAGACTCGCCACTGTAGGGTCACTGGAACAGGGCCACTGCCGGAAGGCCCTCTGTGCTCCGCGAGGTGACGTTGCCCTGTGCTGAAGAGAGCTGTGCCTGCTGCTGTAGAGATACTGAGAGTGTAAGAACTGACAGAGAAGAGAACCAGATCACCTCCAGCCCCAGCCCCTCCAAATCACCTCCAGCCCCCGCTACGACACCGACCCTGGTTCCCACTGTCTGGCAACCCCTATTCTATCCCATGCTGGTGGCTTGGCCTCTGGAGGCAGATTCCTGCAGGTTCTACCCCCAGTGACATTTGAGGGCAGCCCCATCACTCTGGGCAAGGGGCTTCACCTCTCCAAGCTTTGGTGTCCTCACCGGTAACATGAAGGTGACAAGAGGTCCCAGTGAGACCCACTTGGCACACAGTGAGCATTTGAGCACCGTTCGTGTTAGGAATGTTGCCCGTGGCTTGAAGTAGAATTTGACAACGTGATGGTCTCTAACCTGAGAATTCCCGAGGGACGGCCGGTTCCTTCCCACCAACCCACTGCAAGTTGGAGGCGTCCTTCGGGGGAGGTGCACCTGACAGTGGCCTCTAGCGCCAGGCTCTTCTGGAATAAGTGCTGCCCCGTGGAACTCGTGGAAGGGGTGCTGAAAGCAGAAACCACGCGGYGCGGGCTCCCATCCCGCAGCGAGGCCCGGAGACCCCGTGTGGAGCCAGCCTAGGCCGGGGACCTTCTGCCCTCAACTTCCTGGACGGCTCAGTGACGTGGGGGAACCCAGGCAGTGCCCCGCCCTGGGAAGGCAGTGTGAGAGCCCGTGGGGGAAGCAGCAGGGGAGGGCACCAGCCAGACAGCCAGGAAACCGTGTTCTTTTCTTTCTGCAGAACTGGGGTGGAGCCCAGACCCCACCCGCTGGCCAGGCTCCACCCCGTGCCACGTCCCAGCCCTCAGAACACAATCTTGGCATGAGGGGACAGGGCCCAAGGTGCCCATCCCTGGTCCCCGCCTCCTCCCACAGCTCTCCCTCTGCTCCCAAGCCAAGCAGCGGTGGAGATGGAGCGCCCACCCCTGGCTGTCCCACCCCGGGCCCTGGAGAGGTTGCTTCCTCCCTCTGACCTCCTCTCAGCCTCAGGGGGCTTCCGTCATGCTCTTGTTCTTTCTAGAAGGTTCTCCCTTTCTGGCTGGCGGCACTTGATCCCCTTGCAGGTTCTCGTTTAGAACTGCTGTGATGTTTCAGAGGAAACCAGATCACAATAGACCTCGCCAACCAAGTGCCAGCGGCTGACCTTTCAGAAGGCGGCTGAGGAGGGGCCACCTCTGCCTTGGGAAACCCGTGTCTTTTCCTCACAGTGGGCAGCCTTCCTGGGGTGTGTGCTGGGTAAGGGTCCTCCACTTGTCAAGGAGCAGGCCCCGATGGGGGCTGAGACGCGGGAAGACGTCCCGCAGTCCAGGGGCAGGAACCCTCCGCACCTTTCCCTGCCTTGAGTGCCCCCGCCAAGGGCCTCCCTGAAGGAGCTGGTGTGCACCGCCTCTGTCTCTGTCCCCAGGAGTGGCGCTGCTTCTTCCTCTTCGTAGCTCTCCTTCGGGAAGACGTGGATCCATGCTCCCAGAGCTGGTCACTCCTATTTGATGTTTCCCTYGTATTCTGATATGGGAGGATTTCTGAGCTGGATTGTCAATATTTGGGGAAAGCAAATCGAAGACTGATGGGTTTAGGAGAATCCTATTTTTATCAAAATTTGCAAGGAGAAATATTTAGAGTAGAATAAACGACTTTCTTATTTCCTTGGAAGCAGGATTGCTGCGCTGCCCGATGCTGTCTCCTAGAAACCCGTCCTGCACCCTCAGACGGCATCAGGACCCCCTGCTCCCCCTTTATGTAGCACTTGGGCACTGACACGGTTGAAAAGGACAGTGGACTGCGACAATTAGGAGACTCCTTTAGAGCAGTTTCAGGTTTGCAGAGACCTGTGGCYGGAAGTTGCTGTGAGTCCGTCTCCCCTGCAGCTTCCCTGTTACGGTTATGAAGGTCAGTGGTTAGTAACTTAGTAACAAGTCTGTAGACGCCCTAGGCTCCCTCCAGTTTCCACAGGGCCAGGGTTCTGGACCTACTGTCCAGTGTCACCAGGGTGGCCGACTTGTCCTTCTTCCTGGCCTCCAAGTCCATTACTGATATTTAACATCGTCTTTCAGCTGGACCTGAGGCTCTGCCAGAGGGGCCCCTCTGCCTTGTGGACTAGCAGTCGCCTGCTCTCGGATCAGAGCCTGTTTCTTGTTTTTCCTTGGTACCAGGGATTGAACCCAGGGGTGTCTAACCACTGAGCCACATCCCAGCTCTTTTTATTTTTTGAGATAGGTTTTCACTAAGCTGCTCAGGGCCTCATTAATTTGCTGAGGCTGGCTTTGAACCTGTGATCCTCCCGCCTCGGCCTCCAGAGCCACGGGGATTACAGGCATGGCCACTGTGCCAAGCTAGAGCCTGCCTCTTAACAGGAGCCCTGTGAATATTTCTCCTTGCATATTTTAATAAAAATGGGATTCTACTAAACACATCAGTCTTCGATTTGCTTTTTCCAAAAATTGACAGTATATCTTGGAAACCTTCCCGTATCAGAATATAAAGCTCTTTCTCTCTAACTTTGTACTGTGGAGACTCTCCAACACACATATGAAAGAAGAGGGGATCCACCATGATGCGGGCCTGTCACTTCAGCTGTCCACTAGCGGCCCTTCTTGCTTCCTTAGTATCTCAGTCCATGTTTCCCCTTTTTGTATTTGGAAGCAAATCCCAGTCATCAGCTAATTTCACCTGCCATTATCTGGGGTACCTCTGAAACAGACAAGGACTCTGTCTGTGGCACATGACCATGTCATCATCGTCACACCCGACGAACGCTAACAGCAGAAAATATAGTCAGAGTCCAAAGTTCCACGTATCCCGTGTACGGTGGAGGGTACAGAGCGTGGGAACYAAATCCAGGAGGCTCACACTCCCCGGGGTGATGGCCGCTGAGGGCCTCTAGATCGGGTCCCCTCTGCCATCCATCTTCCCTTCCGGCCCTTCCTGCAGCCTGGATCGCGCAGCTGTGTCCCTGGTTTGTGTGGAAGTGGCTCCATCCTCTGAACTGTCTGGTCCCATTCAAGTCCAGCCAGTCTCGTCAGTGGCTCTGGGCAGGGGCGTTTCTCCTACAGGAAACTCTCTCGGGTCGACACTGTCTGTGATGTTCGGGGCGCCACTTCTCAACGCCCGGAGCCCTTTATTCATTGGGGCTGCTGATCCTAACATGAATTGCTTCTATAAAAAGAAACTTCCCTCCACGTTCGGTGGCCCTGAGGTACAGTCTGTGTAGGACAGGCAGGATCAATGCTGGGTTCTTCCCTTTATTTACCAGTTTTCAGAATAATGAGTTGCCTATAAATATTTGAATGAATGAATGAATGAATAATACATGTATGGATGAACCGGCGGGTTCCGGAGCTGGGGTTCTCTGCTGCCCTCCAGGAAGTAGGTGTGGGCCACTGCTGGGTAGCACAGGAGCCACCTTGGTGGGGTCCCTGTCTGAGTAAGGAGGGCCGGGAGCAGCGCTTGCTACCTGTCAGCCTTCAGTCAGGAGCGCAGGTGAGCTGAGTTCCTAAAAATACAGCGTCTGGGACCAGGGATCAGCCYGTCCCATCAGCGGCATCAGACCCTGGAAACCACACGCTGGGAGAAGGGACCGACTGCAGGTCCAGGCTCCAGCAGGGAGAGGTCTCAAAGTGCTGCAGACCCTCCCCAGGACGGGGAGTTGGGAGTTTCTGTCCCAGAGGAGGAGTCGGGTGCAGGCTGGGCTGGTGGCCTTGCAGGGTGCCTTCTAGGCCAGCCCGGCCCCACCCAGCCTGCTCCTGGGGGGCGCTCCATCCGCCTGCCCTCCGCTTGCTGACCTCTCTGCCCTCTCTGGGTCTCCCCAGGTGCAAGTGCAACCTGCACGCCAACCTGTGCTCGGTGCGGGAGGGCAGCCTGCAGTGCGAGTGTGAGCACAACACCACGGGCCCCGACTGCGGCAGGTGCAAGAAGAACTTCCGCACGCGGGCCTGGCGCGCCGGCTCCTACCTGCCGCTGCCCCACGGCTCTCCCAACGCCTGTACGTATGCCCCGGCCCCCGCCAGCCTGGCTGCAGCCCACAGATGTGCACCTGGCACACATGGGGACACACATGTGCCCTTGGGCTTACAAGCACACACACACACCAACAGATGTGCGCAGGCCTGGGTGTGTGCACGCGCGCACGCGCGCACACACACACACACACACACATTATGTTGGGAGCCTGTGACAAGACCCTCTGGCACGCGGGCCCACTGCCCCGGGGAAACCCGGGATGATCTGGCCAGCCCCCTTCCTGCTGCCCTTCCCCCCTTGACTGAGAAGCAGGCAGGAGGCCCCTGGAAGCAGGGGGTGGAGACCCCCCTCCAGGCAAGCAGGACCCACGCGGAATGGATGCATGTCGCGTAGTGTCACATGCTGCAGGSCCCCCCCCCCCCCGGCGCTTTCAGCCCAGCCCCTGGACGTGGGGCTCTTGTTCTCCCGTTTTCTGAGGCACCCCCTGAGGCCCTCGGTGAGCCCCAGGGCCTGCCCAGTCCTACCCTTCCCCGCTGCCCAGTGCCAGGAAGGCCTCGCAGGGGTTTGCCCACCAGGGTCAGCATTGCAGACCCCTTCAGGGGTCCCCCCTCACCACATGCCCCCAGTGTCGGCCACAGGTGCCTCCAGGAAATCAGGGACCCCAGGGAGTTGCTGGGCTGCGAGTGGGCAAGGGCCTGGCTGGCTCAGGGGGAGCAGCCCTCTGACCCTGGAGCGCCTCTGGTTCTTCCCATGTCCAACACCTGTCAGGGCTTTGTCCTTTGTCCCCATCGGAGGCTACAGCGGGCCGCTGCATGCCCCCCCGGCCTCCCCCCAACACTGAGGAACACTGAGGAACTGCCACTTCCACCGCCCAGCCACCTGGGGCCTCCCTGCACAACAGCAGGAGTCACAGCCAGGGCGGGGTCCAGACCTGGACCACGCCAAGGGCGGGCAGCAGCCTCCTGCCCCAGGACCGCCCGGCCCTGCTGGGCACCCGCCCTGACTGGGAAAGATTTATGTGGCTTTAGGCTGATCAAAGCTGGAGCTCGGCAAGGCCGTGACAGGCATGTCACACAAGGGGCCTGGGCCGGCGTGACAGGACTTTGATCGGGGACGCTCCAGCACCTCACGGCACTGGAGGGTCTTCAAAGGCACGGAGACTGACTGCTCTGGTGCGGCCCACCCCCTGCCTGGTCCCTCCTCCCAGGTCCCCTCCCCATCTCTTTTGTCCTGAACCTTTTATTTCAATGTGTCACCCTCTCCCCTGGCAGTCCTGCCTCCGCTCTGTCCCAAGGCCTCTCCCGCCCGCCTCCCTCCCCTGCGCACACTCCCAGCTCCTCTCCCCCATTCCAGGAAGGATCCTGCAGGGCCTCCCGTCTGCCCACGTCCACCGCCAGGTCTCTGGCCTGCTGTCACGCGCCCTACCTTCACCCCAGGCGGGAGTCCTCGCCTGTCTGACCAGCCTGGACAGACAGACCTCAGCCCTGGCCTTGGCCTGCTTCCTCTCCACAGCGGGTGGATGGGACAGCTCCCATTTTGGGGAGACAGCCCTGGAGCCAGCCCCGCCACTGCCTCCCCAGGTGTCACCAGGAAGGAGGGGTCCTCTGGGACCCCTGAGAGGAGGGGTGCTGTGTCACTGGGTCCCCTGCCTCTGGGGCAACAGGGAGAGGACAGAGGAGGAGAAGCAGCCCCAGGTCAGCCCTTCCTCCCCTCTCCATGACCCCATCCCAGCAGGTAGCATCGTCCCCAGGGGAGCCCCCGCCCACACCTGCCCAGGCTCCCTCCCTTCCCAGAGCCTGTGCCCCCCAACCTGCCTCGGCCTTGCTGAGGAACCCCATGGCCCCCACCCCCACTTCCCCTCAGGCCGTCCTTCCTGGGGGCCACCCGCTTCAAAGCCCTGGGAACCCTCCGAACGCACCCCTACTCGTCGGACCTGCTGGGAGAACCCCACCATCCCCTACCCCTGAGCCCCAACTCCCCACATCCCTTTCCTGACGTCTCTTGTGACTGTGTCCTGCAGCCCGGAGCCTCCTCTGCCCTGTCCACTGCTCCCTCACCCTCTAGGCCCCAGTGAGGGCCTTGCCCACCTGAGTTCCCTGCAGTTAGCTCTGCCTGGCCCTCCACACCCCCCCACGTGGGTGGTAAAGGGAGTCGGGTGTGGGGGCTCATCCTCCACCTCCCCAGACTGTGGGGGCCACAGCCATGTGCCCTCGGGCCACCACACGCCTTTCTCAGGAACGCCTGCCTGCTGTTTGTGGCTGTGCCTCTGTCCCCAGCTCTGGGGGAGGCCTCCTTCCCTCCTGAGGCACAGGAAGCCGGGTTCAGGGTGCGCCCGGCCACGCCCCGCGGCCTCCTCCCCTGCAGGGCAGCACATCAGGACCCTGTGTGGGGCTGCCCTTCCAGGGGTGCTCTCGCTGCCCRGCGGAGGCCCCTTAACACCGGGCAGCCAGGCAATCCCAGCGGGCTGTTGGGCCACCTCCGTGTCCCTGTCTACACTGTGGGGCCCCAAATCTGAAATCAAATACAAAGGGGGTGCCTGGCACTCACGGGCACGCGGGGCTCGAAGTTCCCAGACTTGGTTTCTCCATCTGCAGAGTGGGCCCCTCCTCTCTGGTGGCAGTGGGAATAAACGGGCTCTTCCTCCGCCGAGGTCCCCAGGCCCAGAGGCCGCTCCTTCTGCCGCAGGTGCAGTGGGGCAGAGCTTGGGACCTCGGAGGGAGGGACACCTCCCTGGGCTCACCCTGCCCTGCCACTCACTCCTCTGCAGGGAGGAGACAGCTGTCCCCCTCTGCCCCCACAGCCAGCTCTGTGACCCTTTGTCTCCCCGCAGGTGCCGCTGCGGGCTCCGCCTTTGGCAGTAAGTAGACTACATAAGCCTCCTTGTATGTCCCGAAAGAGCAGCAGAGAAGGGAGGGGCTGGACGTCCCTCTGGCCTCGAGCTCCCTCTGCTCATCACCCTCATTTGCTTCCTCGCCTCTCTCCCTCGCCTCTCTCTGTCGCCTGCAGCCCGGCAACTTCGTCTCTCCCAGGAGCTTCATTAGTGCTGCTTTGGAAGCCTCAGGGCCTTTGCACAGGTCCCCTAGACTCCTGGGCCCACTCCCTGCTCCCCTGGCCACTCATTCCTTGGCTTCTTCTCTCTCCCCAAATCTGGAAGGAGTCTCTCCTGCCAGACAAGGAAAGGGGGGGCCTTCTTCTCCTGCCCCCCACCTTCCAGCTCAGCTCAACTCCCCGGGCAGGTCAGGCTGGTGGGTCACCTGCAGGAAGGGAGTCCTGGGAGTCATGAGGAGGCTGAGGGTGCTGGCTGTTAGTACCATCTGGCCAGGTGGCCAGGCCCCAGGGCTCCAGGCACCCGGCTACCAGGACTCGGTACTAGCTCACTTACGCCCTCCTGGCAGCCCCCCGGGGGGCACAGGGCTTGCCATCTGCTCTGCCAGCCAGCAGGAAGGGGCTTGCCCCTGTCAAACAGGCGGCTGGTGGCAAACCCCAAATCTCTAAGTGCTTCTAAGACATTTGACACCCTCTACCACAGCTCTGTGGGCCATACCCCATCCAGCTGCCCTCCCCAACCTGGCTGCCCCCCACGGGGACGCCAGTGGGCAGAGAGGGCCCCAGAAGGAGGCTGGCCCCGCAGGGAACGCGGGTCTGCACAGCCGGCATCGGCACCAGTGACTTCTTGGTGGTGCCCGGCTCCCCCGACCCTCACCTCCTCTTGCTTTCCCATCTCTCACCAGGCGCCGGCAGGTCCCGGAAAGACCCTGCCCCCCAGCCCCCCGTGGCCACCGTGGCCATAAGCGGGGAGCCCATCGCTTCCACYCCCTCCACATCTACTGCCCAGGCCCCCAGAGTCCCCAGCACCCCACTGCCCACAGGTGGGTGCCTGTGATCCCAGTGTGCCCTWCCCGCTGCTGCTGCTCCTGGCCCCGGGCAGGGCTCGCCTCTTAGAGTAGGAAGCACTAGTGCCCTGGCGTGCGAGAGTGTGGCCCAAGGGGACCTCCAGGCGCTGAGCCAGCCTGTCATCCAGCCCCAGCCAGGGACCCAGCCATCACTTCAGGCTCCCAAGGTCCCCTTCCCCTGGCTTCTAAGGCACTCCTGAAGGGTCCTGGTTCCAGTGTGGCCAGGGGGCTGGGGGTCCAGTGGTAGAAAGGACACCCTGACATTCAAACTTAGATGGGGACAGTAGTATTTCAGAGGAGCCTCCTGGGCAGAGGCCGGGGTGAGGAAGTCGGGCTTCCTACGTAAGTGACCCAGCCTCCTGACTGCCGTTGTGCTGCAGTGAAGGGCAGATAGGAGCAAAACGGCCAGAAGGGAGGGGTCTGCCCGTTCCCACGGGGGGCCAGGCACACCCTCCCCACCACATGGGCACTCTGAGCGACCTTGAATCCTCTTCCAAAGCTGCTTCTGATTTGGGGTGAGGGGTGCAGGGCAGACCCTGAGGTTGAGCATGAAAGGAGACAGGGGTCAGAGAGGTGACCCCAAAGGTTTGCATGATGAGGGTCCCTAGGACCCTGGCTGTGAGCAGGAGACACACCCTCCCTCCAGACTCCAGAACAGACATCTGGGTGGGCATGCTGTGGGCCCTGCTCCTGCGCCCTGTGCCAGGCAGCGAGTGTTAAGGGAAGCGGTGGCTCAGGGTGACAGCCAGTGGTCTGAGTCCTCACCTCCCCTAGAGCCTTAACCTGGAGCCCCCAGGGCGCCTGAAGGCGGGTGGGTAGGGTGATGTTCCAGCTGGTGAGAGTGGGCTTCACCCCGCCCAGGGCTGCGCTGTGCAGTGCTGTGCCCCTTGCTCTGCGGGGAGGTGACGGAGGCTGTCATTTTCCTAGTCCCGCTGGGAGTGGGATTGAGGCTTAGGAAGCAGCAGCGGGGTTTATGGTGGTGAACTAGACCTCAGTAAAGCTGTTCTAAAAAAAGAAAAGGAAGGGAAGGAAGAGCAGCTGCCCAAGGCCTCAGGATTACGAAGATGCTGGACGGGAGCTCAGGGCTCACCGACTTCAGCTGCCACCTGCCCCCGCTGCCACCCGTGCCCGGGCCTGGGCGCGGTGAGGTGGCACCACCTCTGTGGCCTGGCTTCCCGGCTCCCTAGCTCTGGGTAGGTCTCGGGAACGTTCTTCTCACACTCCTGAGCATGTCCTGGACAGCCCGGCGGGAGGCTTCCCCTCCTCAGACCCTGGCCCCCAGCTAGCCCCAGGCTTCTCCAGCCCTTCCAACAGGCTCTTTAGCCTCTGGTCAGACTCCCTGGCCCCGAGGTTTCTCCCACAGCTGACGGGGCGCTAGTCCCTCCCCACTGGGCCCTGGGGGGGTTAGGGTTAGGGTGCCTGAGGGCTGCCGTCACTGCGGCTCTAATTAAACCCTTGCCAATTTGAGTCCCCTGGCACGGTTTCCTCTCTGAAGGCCACACTAATGTCAACTGGACGTCCAAGGCCCTCGCTGCAGCTGGGAAGGGTCCTGCCCACGTTAGCTGCAGATTCTCCGTCTCTCCTCCTCCGTCCTCATGGTGGGTGCCCCCTTCAGGAAGCGGGAAGCCTCGGCTCCCCCGGCCCCCTGGGTTTGTCCTTCAGATTCCCTCAGAGCAGCTCGTCCCCAGCCCACCCACGCTGCCCGCTGTGCCTAGTTGGTCTTAGGGATGAGCACGGTGGTGTGTGGCAGGCGACCCATGTCGGGTCCCCAGAGAAAATGAGGGAGGTGGAAGGGCTGTGACCCAGGAGGTGGGTCAGATGGCAGAGGACACTCGGGTCCCTGGCTGGGGGTTGGAAAAGAGGTGTCTGGGGGCCTCTGGACACATGGGGTACCCTGCCGGGACACGCATCCTCCTCTGCAGCCATTAGCCAGAAACTCGGCAGAATCTGGGCCAGGCACAGGACCTGGTCCGACACTGCCCTTTGGTCAGAATGGGAACCACACAGGGAGGGTCGAAGAGTCCCCAGGTTCAAGTTTTCCACAGAAGGAAGGACTGCCCAGGGCTCGCAGATTCTCAGGCATGGGGGCCCCCGGTGTCCAGCAGTGTGTGCGTGTGCGTGTGCGTGTGTGCATGTCTGTGTGCACATGACTGTGCGTGTGTGTGTGCATGGGCGTGCACCTCCCAGGGCTGCAGTAGTGTAGATGCTGCCTCTGTAGTGGATTTGGACCCAGGTCTTCTGGCAGTGTAGACAGAGCCTTTCCTCCATAGTGCTGCTTCTTATGAGGGGCCTGTGGGAATGTGGTGGTGTCACCTCCTCGCATAACTCGACTTCTTCTCTTCTTCCCTGCAAGAGTGGACCAGGCCATCAACAGCTGCCCCTCTTGGGGAGAGCTCCCCCCAGCCCCAGGTTTCCTCCAGTGAAGAAGGTATGGGGGGCAGGGCCTGCGACAGGCCTTAGGACCCCAGAAGCCCCTCCTTAGCTCCTTGGGCCCCTCTGTCCCCCGTAGAGGTAGTAGGTGTACATGTTGGGGACCAGGGTGGGACGGAGATCCCAGGAACTGAGGGAGGGGTGTAGAGAGACCAGCGTCTGGGAGCTCAGGCCAGAGCAGCCAGGGGAGGCCCGAGCTCTGCAGCCAGCCTCAGCTGCGTGGAGGGCGTGACACCACAGTCCCCCAGGGGGTCAGAGTCAGGTGGCCACACTGCCCTCATTACAGGAATCCTCTCACTGGCTGCCCGGTTCACAGGACCCTCATCACAGGCATTGATGGAGCCCAGAGAGGGGACAGGTAGACCTGCAGGGTGCTTGCGAGTGGGTGAGGGAGAAGGGAGCGCGCACCCGGGAGGGCGGCTGGGCGGTGGCTCAGCCAGGCAGCGGCAGGAAGCTGGTCAGCTTGCTGGTCAGACTAGGCCGGGGAGGGATAGCAGAAGGCCGTGAGGACCAGCCAAGAGTCTCTCTGCACTGGAGTGGGGGACACAGGCCTCTTGGGGAGTCAGGGGGGGACATGTGCAAGAAAGAGGCCCATCTAGCTCCACAAGGGGAGCTGGCCCCTACCTGTTCCCAGCCCTGTACCATCTCTGAGTGGCGAGCAGGGCTTTGAGTGCCCCCTGCTGGCAAGGGGCTCCCCAGCTGGGCCCACAGTTATGAAAGTCAGCTCCTAGCAACCTGGAGGCCTCCCCGTGGTGACAGAGACAGGTAGAGCCAGCTGAAGCCATCATTTCCCTTCCTTGGACCCAGTAAGTCTCCACAGACTCCCAGAGGGGACAGTGGCATGCTCACCCCCAACAGGGGCTGGGGCCTCCCTGGGATCCCAGACGATGGAGACAGGTACGTCCGCATTCTTGGCTTGCAACACTTGGAAGTGGGAATCCAGGGACAGGAACAGACACCTTAGTGGTGCAGAGAGGCTCCTCAGAAAGGACAGGAGATGCCCAGGTTGCCAGTGCTGGGTTCAGATGGTGGGCCAGATGCCCACAGAGATTGGGGGCTGAGGCAGGGGGCGGCGTGCCAGGAGTGTGAGAGAGATTCTCATCCTGTCAGAAACCCTCCAACAGGGAGTGTCTCGCTCGGCACTCTGGGGGATGTCGGAGACAGAGAGGTCACTGGGGGGGATTGATCCCGATGGGTAGTAGATGGTCTCAGAGGAGGAATCCGACTGGCCCTGGGAGCTCACCTGCAGCAAGGTGCTTCCACTCCCAGTCTCTGAGTGGGGCCTGACTCCCCCCTGAGGGCATGTGTGACACCCGGGTGGCCTCCCCTACCTCCAAGTGAGCAGATGACAAGACTGGCCCAGAGCTGGCCCAGGGCATCTCAGGAGACTTTGTCCATCTTCTCACTGGGCTTGAGCTGCCCACCCTGGGGCAGCTGGACAGTGGCAGGTGAAAGAGCTTGTTTCTCATCTCTCCAAGCTGCGGGCACTTCCGCTGCTGTCCCCACCCCTGCTAAGAGCTCCAAACTATTCCAGCTCAAGCCCAAATCTCCTCAAGTGATGCCTATTGAAGAATTCCAAGGTAAGAGAAGGCCTGGGGCTGGGCCAGCCCTCCCCCCACTTCTCTTCCCCACCTCCACTGGAAAAAAAGGGCGCAGGACAGGGTGCTGGCGTCCTGCTCAGAAAACCCTCCTGGAGTAGCTGGGTCAAGGTTAAACTGCGCCTCTCTTCCCTCCGGCCCCCCAGCCCCACGGGAGCTGGAGACAAGTATGAGTCAGAAGCCAACCTGGGCACAGTGGGCAGGCCCACGGTAGCAGAGTTGCTGCCAGAAATAGCCTGTCCTGACTCCCTTGGGAGGTGTGGCCCAGGGGCTCGCTTGGTTGAAGAAGAATCTGGGCCACTCTGGTCACTGACGCTGCTCTTCAGGACACTTGGAAGATGCCCTTCCTCCTTCTGAAGTGATGAGGTGAAGGGGTGGTCCAGGAGGCCCATGGGTGGGGAGGCCCCCATCTCTCATAGGCTGCTTCTCCAGCGTCCCCCACACCCGGTGGAGTCCACCTGGGAGCCTTGCCCCAGGTGGCCACGATTTTGGCAAAGCCACTGGGCAGGAGTCAGCCTAAGAACCACATGAAGGGGCTGGCGGCGGCCCCGTGATGGCACTGGGGTGGCTCTTCTCCAGGATCAGCGAGCATCAGAAGCCCTCTGGGATCAGGAGGGATCAGGGAGATGCCGAGGGCCCTGCAAAACCTGCACTCTGATGCCAATCAAACCATGAAAAGCTCAGACTAGTCACAAAGGGTCCTGTAGGGACAGGGACAGGTGGTTTTCTCCCAACCCTCTTCCAAAGCAGCACGGGAAAGAAGCTCCTGGCCCATTCCCTCTCGTCCGGCATCTGTGCATGCATTCAGCCATCCGCAGAACCCTGGCCACGTGATGGCCCGCCAGGAACTCAGGCACTGCCTTCCCTGAGCTCACAGCCTGGCAGCACCACCCTGTCCTCCATGCATGAATCAGTTTCTAGTCACCCTGGTTCGCGGGCACCCTTCGAGAGCACTTTGCCCTGGCAGCTGGCCAGGTGTTAGCAGGTGCTGCCCATGCCCTTCCTGGTCCCTGACCACAGGCCTGCATGGGTCCTGCTGGCTTTGAGCTAGAAGGCCTGGCTCTTTCCAAATGCCACACAAGTGTCTGAGGCCTGGGGCACCTTCTGGGTCCTCTTCCAAAGATGCCTCCCTCCCTCCCCTCATGTCCTGGGGTGGGTCCTTCCTCCCCCATGCCTCAGTTTCCTCAGATGCTCACTGACCGTGGGTGTCTCTCCCGCTTGGCCGGCCCAGACTGTGAGTGCTACGGCCATTCCAACCGCTGCAGCTACATCGACTTCCTGAACGTGGTGACCTGTGTCAGCTGCAAGCACAACACCAGGGGCCAGCACTGCCAGCACTGCCGCCTGGGCTACTACCGCAACGGCTCGGCTGAGCTGGACGACGAGAACGTCTGCATCGGTAAGGTGCAGGCCGCAGGCAGCCAGGGCAGGGCTGGGCGGAGGCCCCGGGTGGAACCACCTGGGTGGTGCAGAGATCCCAACCCAGGGCCCCCTCCAGTAGGTGCCTCTAGGGACAGATGCCTGCAGAGCTGCTCTGCTAGCGACCACCTTAGCTTCTTCCCTAGTGTCCTGGAGATGTAGAGCCTCTAGTTAGAGGCAAAGGCTGGGTTCTAGAGCTGGCCTTGCTGTGTGCTTTTGGGCCAGTCCTTTGCCCTCTCTGACTCCACACTGTAAGATCGGGAGGTGATCAGGTTAAAGGCTTTCAACCTCTTCTATTGCTGAAGCGTCTCCTTCAAATGCTTCATAAGCAGAGGCCCAGCTCACACCAGCTGCCCTGTGGGCCCTGCTTGGCTTTCTCAACACTCTACTCCAAGACGGGTTTGGGGTAGAGGAAAAGAAAATGCACAGAGGCCTTGGGCCCACACAGGGGACAGACCATCCCAGAGAGCCAAACCCGTAACACCCAACCAACACACCCTGTAAGCCCAGGGAGGGGAGCCCGGGCTGGCCCCCACCTGTGTGCAGCAGAGACCAGGTCTCAGCTTCAGAGGCTGTCCCCACTGCCAGCCAGCCAGGGGGCCCCACTGCGCACCCCCACAGGCTGCCCTGGCTGTGCAGAGGAGGGGCTGCTGTGAGGCTGGAGCTGTGGCCAGTTGTCCAGAGAGGGGAAGGGACTAGCCCGAGCCACACAGCACCAGGGCCAGGAGAGGAAGATGGAGTCTTCCCATGAGATCTAGACTTTCCAGGCAGTCGCCACCTGCTATCCAGACGCAGGCTCCAGCAGACAGGGAGACCCCGCTGGGAGAGGTGCGAAGCCTGGTGGGATGCGGTCCCCGGTCCCCGCGGATGGCAGCCACAGGTCGCCCTGACGGCGCGCCCATGTACATGTCCGCCCAGAATGTAACTGCAATCAGATCGGCTCCGTGCACGACCGGTGCAACGAGACGGGCTTCTGCGAGTGCCGCGAGGGCGCGGTGGGGCCCAAGTGCGACGACTGCCTCCCCACGCACTACTGGCGCCAGGGCTGCTACCGTGAGTGCCGAGTGCGCGCCCGCCCGGGTGGGCGGGGCGGGATGGGAGGGACCCCCTGTGGGCGGGGCCTAATGTGTTAGTGGGCAGGGTCCTTCCCCGGTGGAAACCTCTAGGGAGACCCAGCTGGGGTGGGGAGCCCAGGGGTGAGTCTGCCTTAGCAGAGGGTGGAAGATCGTGGCAAGGCTCTGGAAGCGAGGCAGCAGGTGCGCCTGAAGAACTGCGCCGAGGCCCGAGCCGGAGCGGAGCAGGGGGAGCGGTAGCCAGAGGCAGACGGGGCCAGGTCTGGCCGGGCGTCGTTACCAACCAAGCAGGGGCGTTTTGCACCAAGTACGCCCTGAGCCTCACATGCCCTGGTCCAGGCCGTGCCCCAAGGGTTCCCCTATGCCCGTCACAGAAGCTCCAACATGGGGGGTGGACCAGCCACCAGCCGCGTCAACTGCCCCCTCCGCCCCGCAGCCAACGTGTGCGACGACGACCAGCTGCTCTGCCAGAACGGCGGCACCTGCCTGCAGAACCAGCGCTGCGCCTGCCCGAGCGGCTTCACTGGTGTGCGCTGCGAGCAGCCGCGCTGCGACCTCGCCGACGACGACGGCGGCCTGGACTGCGACCGCGCGCCCGGGGCCGCCCCGCGTCCCGCCACCCTGCTCGGCTGCCTGCTGCTGCTGGGGCTGGCCGCCCGCCTGGGCTGCTGAGCTCTGCCCGGGGACCCGCGGCCGGGGAGGGTGGACCGCGCGCTCTGCGCCATGCGCCCCGCGCTTCGCGTCCGGGGATCCTAGGCGTCCAAGGCCGGGCGGCGACAAGGGTGCGGCCGAGCTGCTCCCAGGTGCTACTCAGCAGAGTCCTCCCGCCCTCCCGCTCCGCCTCGCGGCACCGCGCCGCCCGGCACTGCCCTCCCTTCGCAGCTGGGGCGCTGTGGGCTTCTGCCCCTGCAGCCTGCGATTTGGGTTTTAGTTTTTCTTTTATATTACCTGCCGCCTCTTTATTTTATTTTTCTTAACTTCTCTTTCTTTTCACTTTTCTTTTCCTTTGCTGTCCGTGAGACAGGGGGCCGCGAGAAACGCTGCTCGCCCCAACACCCCCAGATCCCGCCCCGACCTCACATACACGCAGGACTGTTGCAGACACCCCTGCGCCCGCCCTGGCTTACACCAGCCAGCGGCCTCGGAACTCCAGTTGCCTACCACTCTAGTCGCTGACTTGATTCTCTTTTATATTCTTTATTTTCCTTTGCAACCCACCAGACCCCGAGCCCCACAGCGGCCTGGTGACCAAGGAACTCACCATCTGGGGTTGGGGGTAGAAAGAAGGGTCGGGAAGGGTGGAAACTTGGTTTTGTAGAGAACTATTTTTGTTTGTATTAACTGTCCCCTGTAAGGAGGGACTGGGTGGAAGCTGGTCACCGCGGGTGGCTGATGGTGTATAACCGAACAGAGTAAAGAGTGCTCACTGCTGCCTCCCAGGCCTTTCTTTCTGTGTTGATGGATACCCAGTAAGTTTGGGGCTTATGGAGGAACCCACAAAATAGCCTTTAAGAAATGATCTCCCTATCAGGGCCACCACTTCCCAGATGGTCCCGTGAGGTTGAGCAGGCAGCCCTCTGGGCAGGCTCCCCACACAGGGCGATTTCCCCTGGCCAGGCTGCTAAAGACTAATGTTAGGAGCTTCCCCAGACTGAGAGGTTGTCCCCCATCCACACACACACACACACCCCACCCCCCACCCCGGCCAAACCAGAGCATCTTGGCATTTTGCTACAGAAGCCAGAGGAAGTGGCTCACAGTGAATTCTCAAAGGCGGAATCTAATGCTCTGATCTGTAATCTGCCTCTACAGCTGTCCAACCTGGGTGTGGCATCTCAGCCCTGTTGGACCCCGGGCCTCAGGTCCAATATCAGGTCACAGCCCCCACCCCCATACAAACCACACTGCTACCTTGGCCATGGCCTGCCTGGCCGGAGCCCTTTTGCTGGTCAGAGAAACCAGAGATGCGCCCTGCAGAGATACACCTCAGGCCATCCACTTCTTCCCCTTACCTTCAGAGGACCAGGGAGGGTGGCAGAGGGGAGAGGGAAGTGAGTCTTGAGAGGAAGCCGCCTAGAATTCAGGGTTTAACTCAGGTACTTTGCTATCTGAGGACCCAAAGGTCTCTGCAGCCACTCAGCACTCCAGCTTTGGGGGTCACCGTCCCCACTGCCTGCCCTTGCTTCTCAAGGCTTCTCCTACTACCTGTTTACTTCTGAGTAGCACCATGGCCCCATCTGGGTTCCTAATTGCTCTCACTATTCCTGCTGGTCACCCCGTATTCTGGCTTCTGCTAGCTGCGTCTGCTCTTTCCAGGCTGGGAAACAGACCTGGATCCTTTGCTCAGGTCATGGAGTGAAGCTAAGACTGAGCTGAAAGAACTTGGCCTTGGGAATAATAAGAGATTACACCTGGAAAAGGCAGAGCATCTAGGATGGGTATTAAGTATGACTTGAGGCCCAATGCTGCCCTCTGCTGGCCTCTCTCCACTGCATTCACATCACCAGGCTGCCTGTCAGCCCCAAGGAAGTGCCTTCTGTCAGTTCCCCTGCAGGTCTCCAGGCTCCAACTCATCTTCAGAGAACCCCTCTTAGAGGGACCGAAGTGCCCAGGTAAAAATAAAACACATATCTGGGGCTACTTGTGGGCCAGAGTGGTCATGCAACCAATTCTGRCCAACAAAGTATAAACAGGAGTGATGGATGGTGCTTCCAGAAAGTTCCTAAAAGTCCTCCCCTCTTCCCCACTCCCACAAAGCCTCAGTTGGACCCATGTTGGGCCCTGGCTCTCTCTTCTCTCCCTCCCTGGCTCTGTTCAGGCTGGGGATGGGGTGGGCGGAGGCAGGAGCCCTCTGGCAACCTTGATATGAGCACATCTCCCTCTGGATGGTGGAGCCCAGAACTTGCCTCTGAAGATCTAGCAGAGCCGAAGACATCAACTGTGCTGCTGCCCCATTCTTCAGATTGTGTGAGAAAAAAAAATAAACCTTGATGTGATGCAAACTTCGGAAATGAGGTTTTCTGTCCTGTGCAGATTCACCAATTCCTAAATCTCAGGCCCTCCCTGCTTGACATCAAGCCCCTGATTCTCCAGGCCAGAGACTAAAACCCACCCCTGCTGCAAGACCCTGCCCCTCAAGTCCAAACACAGGCGACAGCTTCCAGGCCAGGGACAGTGCCACCGCTGTCCAGAACAGGGCCTGCTGCTGCTTTCAAGGAGAAGGGGGCAGCTGGCCCAAATCATTTTCCTTCTAGTTGCCAGGAAGAAGGGGACATCAGTTAGAACCACACAGCAGGGGCAATCCCACCAGAGCCGAGTGCCCAGGAGGCTGTGGTGCAGGACCTGTAGAGGGCGCTATTCTCAGAAAGTCGTGAGGGAGGGGAGCTAGGAGAGGGCGGGGAAGGAGTGGTCAGCGTCCCTGGAGCCAGGCTTTGTTCCAGTGAAGGGGCAGTGTGTGCATGCTAAATTAGAGTGGCAGCCCCAGACCCAGGGGACCCAGCTGGCCCTGACCTCTGGGCCTGACGCACAAGGACAGCTGGTGGGGTCTGGGGGTCTGGAGAATGAATGCCACTGCAGCAGGGCCGTGGCCTTAAGGGAGGGGGTACTTCCCGTCAGTCACTCCGAGCAGGAGCGCTGGGAGCTGTTAGGCTAATGGGGGGGGGGGCAACAGCTCCTTCCGCAAAGCTCATGGGGTCCAGCAGGAGAGGGCCCCCCATGGGCACCTACCCACCCTCCCTGACCTCCCACCACTGGGATCTGCTGTGTCAGCATCCTTGGGACCAGTCTTCGCTCCGTCGAAGAGGTGGTGGCCTTGTAAACCAGAGCCGCAGCCCCAGTCCCAGGGGACGAAGCTCGGGCCCTGACCTTGACCGGAAGGTGGAAGGAAAGCTGCCAGTGGCCATTTGGAAAACTCTGACATCCTCCAGACTGCGGGAAGAAGGAGAGGACAAGGTCATTGGAACCAGAGTCGGAGCCCCGCCCCTTTCCTAAGGTGCTCCCTCCTCCCCTAGCTCCCGTTTTGACGCCTGGTTCTGAGCGGTACCTGAGCAGAACCGAAGCTCCCACTTCACAGCTGGTGTAGTGCGTGCCTCTTGTCCTAACCCTGCCCTCACCGAGGCACCATCGTCGTTCAGGACTGGACCCTGCCGACGGCGGGTGGGTGGGGCCTGCCCTGCACACCGGGGATGTTTAACAGCACCTCTGACTTCAGCGCGGCTACTAGATGCCAATAGCACCCCCTTCCTCCCTTCTGGCAGCCAGCAGTGTCTCCAGAGCTGGGTGCAAAATCGCCCCAAGCTGAGACTCACGACTTTAGGAGGAAAGGCTGTTGTGCCTATTTTACAGAGAGGTAAGTAGAGGCTAAGAGAGGGGCAGTAATTGGCCTGAAGTTGCTCAGGAGCAGGGGCAGGGCTGCACGCAGGGCTGCCTGAGCTGTTTAACCCCCAGGCAGGCATCCACCCCTGCCCTGCCCTGCCCTCGCTGCCCTCCTTCCTCTTCCTCACCTGCAGCCAGGGCAGGCTAAGCCAGGAGCCCTCCTCAGGAAGCTCTGCTGGGAGGGGCGACTCCCCTACCACCCCCTAAACTCCATGCCTGCCTTCCTCACAGCCAGGAGGTAGTGTGGGCGCCTGGGAAGCAGGCCTGGGTGGCTGCCCTCCCTGCCCCTCCCAGCACACCTTGGGTGGGGAGAGTTAAGGGAAGACGCTTCTGGGGGAAAAGCTTCACTTATTTATTTTTTTTCCTTTTTAAAACACAAATCACAACTTGTAGGGAAGCCAGAAAATAGGAAAATGAGCTAGCAATAATTTTTAAATTAAAATCATCCACAACCTCCATCCAGAGCTAATAACTGTTAATGTTTTCTGATAGATATTTCTAGTATTTTTCCATAAAATAAACCCACACACAGATATTACCCCTGCCTCAGTGTTTGTTAAATTCACGTGCTCAGGCTCAACATTTCCTTTTTGGTTTTTGGCTTATTTTATGAGATGGGGTCTCGCTCTGTTTTTTTTTTTTTTTTTTTTTTTGGGTCTCGCTCTGTTGTCCAGGCTGACCTTGAACTCATGGGCTTGAGTAGTGAACCTCCCCACCCAGCCTCCCAGGCAGCTGGGATACAGGCGTGTACCACCACATCCAGCTCTTTTTATTTTTTAAATTTTTTGGAGGGATCCAGTGTGATGTTTTGATATATGTACGTAATGTACAATGATCAAATCAGGGTGATTAGGGCTGAGGCGGGGCTCCATGGCAGAGCACTTGCCTAGCATGTGGGAGGCACTGGGTTCGATCCTCAGAATCACATAAAAATAAGTAAATAAAATTTAAAAAACCAGGGTGATCAGCATACCTATTACCTCAAACATTTATTATCCCCTTGTGCAAGGAACAAAGTTATMCCTTGGAGCTATTTTGAAATACAGGATAGATCTCTAACCACGGTGAGTCCCTACCACACTAGAGGACAGGACGCTCTCTCCTCCCATCCACCCGGTGGAAGGCTGCCCGCTCGGCTCTGTGATGCACCAATGCGGATTCAAACCTGTCTGGCTGGGGATCTACACCACCAGCACCAAAACTAAACGCCAGGGATTTAAGCAGCAAAAGAGATTATTTAAAGGTTCCTGGGACCCATGGACACATGCCAGGAGAGCCAGACATAACTCAGGAGCCAC